GACGACGGCCTCCAGCCCAGGAATTTTCTCAATGATCGAGGTGAGTTTACGAACCACCTTATCTCTGAACTCGAGGATTGGATAGATCTGCGCAATGGTCTTGTTCGGGTCAAAGTCTTGCAGTGCCGAGCCACCGGATCCACCACTAGACTGAGGCCGTGCTGATTCCCCAGCCCTATAGCTGCTAGGCTCTTCATCGTCAAAGCCGCGAGAGCGCGAGGACTCGTAATCATCAAAGCCGCGAGAGCGCGAGGAACCGTAATCTTCCTCGAAGCCTCTGCTTGAGCCATAGCCCTGGCGAGCACCACCGCTCCGATTTGCGGACTCTTGAGCCTCCGACTGACGCTTGAGCTCTTCGGCTTCCTCGACGAGATCCTTCGTTCCCGGAATCCCGCCCAACAGATTCGTGAAAGCGCCAAGGGCATTCGCGGACGAGTTATTCTGAGCATCTCCAAGAGCGATATCCATCTCGTTAACTTCCGACTGGGTGAAGTGATCGGTGGCTTCTCCCAGAACGGAATGAAAGAAATCCACCATACCGAATGTTCCTGTCACCAGCGGGAAGACCCGGCGGCCGCGAACGTTCAGTTCCGTGTTGACACCGGTGTGCGGGAAGACATTCTTGAAGCCCATCTCACGAAGCGCAAGCTCACAGTAATTGGTGTGTGCCGCGAAGTCTTCCAGGGTGTGGAGGCCCTGACCCAGACACCGCAGAGCCTCGCAAAGGTCGGCCTCGTTGCCCTTGTCTCTGCCGTGGGTGTGGGTCCGCCCATAGTGAATGCTCCGAGCCAGGCTGTACTTGATATATCCGGAGCTGGTCGTCCAGTCCCCACCTTCGTTGGCGATGTAGTTCTTCATGCCGGTATCAGCGTCGATCTCGAGTTCCACCTGGCGGATCGGCCCACGCAAGCGTTTGTCGTACTGGCGCGCATCCTGGTTGTCCGCATAGTCCTTAGGGTTGTCAATATGCTCCTCGGGGCGGTAAACACCGAGTCTCTCGGAGGTGACCTCAAACTCCGCCGTCGCGTATCCGAAGGTCATGAAAGACAGAATCCAAACCAGGATACGGATAGTATCGGCTTGTAGGTTCTTGAGAGTACCGACGTCCATGGCCTGCGAGTAATCACGCAACCAGTTACCAAAGTAGACGCGCTTGACCATGGTGGAAGTCCACTTGTGTCCTTTGATGAAGGCGACCGTCTTAAGCATATCTTCAATGTCTCCATGGCGCCAGTTCTTGCCCTCCACGGCGGAGATCGATGCGATGTCTAGCTGGGTTTAGCAGGTGAACATGAAGACAAGATGGCCTCGAAGGGGCTATTTACTTCCAGCGCCAAAGGCGTAAGTCTGAGCCGGCAGCAGAACGAGCAAAAGGCCCAGGATGAGGAGGGCATGGGAGCCCAAATTCAGCCGCGGAGCCATAGCGCGGAAGATCTGCAGGGTCTCCGGGCAAAAGTGGGTGGATAATGTGGAAGCAGTAAGGAGGTCGAATCCCGCGAGTAGACGTAACTAAAGGCGCATGCAGCGGGAAGAGGGTCTGAAGTGTTTTGCAGAAAAACAGACAGTAAAGACGGGCGAAAGAAGAGGTGAAGAGGAAAAAAAAAAAAGGACGAAGCGAGTTTGTTTTTTCACTGATCTGCGAGAGGCGCAAGCCACGGCCAAGACAAGCTGCCCAGAGAGTCTTGGGAGTTGGGACTCGCTGCCCCGCCATTCTGCCTCTTTGGGAAACCCCAAGCCGCGTCATTGCGATTATTATTTACTGTGAATACTGCACGTTCTAGACTACTCTTCGGAGTAAATATACTGCAGCTATCCGTTCACGAGTAACGCTTCTCGGGAATCGGTAGTCGAACAGTCTACCACCAAAACTGTTGTGTTTGCACCCTTGAATCCTTGTGACCACAGGCATGGCAGTATAGATCCATGATCCCAAACAATGAGACGGTTCGCTTTGCTTGGCAGTGGCAGAAACGAGCTGAGCTGAGCTGAGCTACAGCCACCCCAAGCCACACCCCAGTTCGTCATACGAGCTGACTTCATGGGTCAAGAGAATCAAAGCTTGATGCTAACCATGCATTTCCTACGGAATGGATGCAGCAGTCGTAAATTACCTGGCCAGGAAAAGGAGGGGGGGGAATTAGTTTATTTGAATCTGATCTACAGTAGCACAATGCAAGGAAATGATGTCAATACTATCTCACCCTCCAACAAGACCAGCCCGGCTAGCTCAATCGGCAGAGCGTGAGACTCTTAATCTCAAGGTTGCGGGTTCAACCCCCGCGTTGGGCTTCATCTTTTTGTCTTCTTGAGATCCTCCACTCATCCCGTGCATAAAGTTCTCATTCCATATGTGACTGTGATCTTGGTTTTTTTTTACAACAATTACAATTATCCTGTATAAAACCCCTTCTTAGTTTGCTCGTTGTTGCCCCTGGCACGTAGCCACCGTGTCCACTGGTTTGGGTTTAAAGTATATATATCCCGCAAACCATGGATCACGTACCAATCGTTCAACTCCTCATCCCCTCTGCTGTAGTGAGAAGTACATTCCGAATGCTGCCAGAGAGCCGGCAGTCCGGCTCATTACTGCCACATAATCTACCTGCCTTCTGATAACCATGTACACTCGACCCCATAGCAAGTCGGGGCACGCCAAAGAGAGAAAGAAGCGCACCCGGCGGAAGCAAAGATTGCTCCAGCACCGGGGAAACACTAACTACAGCCGACATAGGGTATAACTGTAAGCAAGGAGTAGTAGTATCAATAGATGTATGTAGTGTCAGATACTGGTGATAATGCATTAAATTGATCAAAGGCGCCGAAGCTTCTATATACACTCACTGTACCCATAACGAGTACAGTACAATAGTCATGGGAGGGAAAAAGAGATAGCCACACATGCAGCCCACAGGATAAAGATGAAATCAAGGAACGGAAGATCGAGGATGCGCCTGCCTTCTACTCGCGCCAATTCAAAGAGTCCAGCGCTGCCCGTGTATAAGAACAGAAAATTGAAACCGAAATGACTATCTCGCTAAAAACACCATGTCGCCGGTATCGCATAGTAGTTGACAATGTTGAAATACCCAGCAGTCGTAGGAAAGCAGAACCGAAGAAGGGTAGTGATGATTGTGGAACACTAGGGTCTACAATTTCGTCCCCTCGCGTCCACTATCGCTAAGCCTACGCGGACGAAGCGGGATGGCGGAGGTGCTGGGCCCGGCAGCAGCCGTGGGAGTATGGCCACCGGGGGTGGTGCCAGTGCGGACACCCCCAGTCCGTTGTGAGCTTTGGTGTTGGTGGAGTCGAGGGTTCAGAAGCCATTGCACCTGCATGCGTATACTGCTCACCGCGGCGTTGGTGTGGGCCATGTCCTCCTTGATGCGGAGGCATTCGCTCATGATCGCCATGCTGGCGCGGGCGTCGAGATCCGTGATGGCGTGGGATAATTGTCCGACTTCCTCGCGGAGGGACTCGTGTAGGGAGAGAAGATAGTTTGTCGTGGTGGCGGTGTATTGGTTGGAACTATCGATCTGGGACTGGCTGTTGGGGGATGTTAGGTCGTTGTTATTACGGCGGGGTGGGGTAGAAGTCGTTGCGCGATCATCCGGGCCAGCAGAAGCAGTTGGCGACTGGGCCAGGGTGGTTCGGATGTTCGCTAAAGCGTCGTCGAAGATCTCGTTCCGTTGTTTGAGATGGCGAACAGTGAGTTCGAGCGAGTCGAGGCGCGCATTCTGAGCGTCAAAGTACGGGCCCATGGAGATCAAAGGGCAGGTTTGCTCGTGCGTGGCTAAGTCGGCGCGCTTGAGTTGAATGCGACAGCCGTATTTCGAGGCGGCACAGCTGTGAATGGATTCAGGGCAAGAGTCTGCATGTTGTTTGAGTTCCCTGCGTAGGATCGTGGTATGGCAGTCTGGGCAGGTGGTTTGGAGATTGGGGCATAATTCGTCAACGTGTTCCTGTCGGAGACACAAGGTTAGCAGGCTATGAAAATGCAATGCAATGAACCCGGAGACTAGTAGTTCTGTGCGCACCTTATAGTCTTGCTCCATGATATTACCCTCGCAGCGCGCGCATTGGTGGAGTTCATGCAAGCATCTCCCCTCCGGGTCGAGGTCCTTCTTCCGTGTCTTCAATCCACATGAGCCCAGCGGACAGTCCATCGGTCTATACCCGCAGTACTTGTCAACATGAGTCTGGATGAACACTCTTGGAGCCACTTCCTCACACCCTTCGCTCCGAAATGGGCACCTCACTCGAATCTCGTCGCACATGTTGACCAGGAGGCGGGGGAGTTTGAGGTAAACTCCGCCGGTGGGTGTGCGACAGGCAGGACACGTAAAGTCGTCTCGAGATGCTGCGAAGGTCGTGATGGCCGATACAAGGCATTTCTGGCAGAATACATGATCGCACTTCAACCGGACTGGGTGTATGAAGGGGCAGTGGCATATCGGACACATAAGATGGTCATCGTAGCTGGAAACGTAGTCCAGTGAGCGCAGGTCGACGCTCTCGTCGCGGTCGCAATTCGCCTCCATGACCAGAAGGTCTTCAAGGGTGATGTTTGTCATGTTGGGATGTTTTGCTCTGCCATGAGGGGTTTCTAATATGTGATAAGAGCCTCGAGATTGATCCTCCGCCCGTCCGGGAGCCGATTCTGCGCAAGGAGGGAGAGGAGGAGATCAACCGTTTAATTGCCGTTCTTGACCCGGGAAACGAAACGATAGCTCGAAGCAAAGACCCATGAGGGGGCTCGAAAGGTGACCAAAAGAGGGTATATCGGACGAAAAGAGCGTTTGAGGGCGCGGATATGAGTCGGTCAAGGAAGGAAGATGTAGTGACCTCGGGAGGGAGCGCAATTACTGGGAGAATGGATGAATTGCGGGGAGGGAGCGAGACTGACCGATGGGATTCAATGCGGCGCGGAGAGCGGCAGATCCACCACCACACTGGCACTACTGCTGCTGCAGCCGATCATCCCTCGTCCTTCGCCATCTCATCTCCAATCTCACTTATCCTCTCTCACAACGAACTTCCAATCCAGCCACCTCAACCCATCTCTTGTCATAATTCTGTCTCCATCAGCCCGGCGCTGTTCTTCTTCCCCGGCGGAATTTTCAAAATTAGCGCAGTCGTCAAACAGCCTGACACGAAATCCGTACAATCCCACCCGACCGTTCCGCTGTCTACTCCGCAGTCATCATCGCATCTCACCCACCTGGAACGCCTCTCAACACACCCAAACCCTCTCATCCACGAGCCCATCAACCTCCTACTTCCTGCCTCTCACAACAAATCGCCACCATGCCAAACCCCAGCCAACTCCTCCTCCTCGCCGACCACATCAAGCTCTCGCTCCTCGAGCGTCAACGCGCCATCTCCCTCAGCCTGGAGCCCAACAGCCAAGACGGCGAGATCTCGCGGTCCCTGGACTCCTTCAAAGAAGGCATCGACGCCATCGAAGCCGAGTGCGCGCAGCTCGAAGCCCAGAAGGGCCGGCACGATGACGACGTCACCGACCTCCGCGACCAGCTCAGCCACCTCCACTCCCAGCACGACGAGCTATCCGCTCAGTTCCACGAGATCACGACCGCCATCGCCGAGGCAGCCTCTGCTTCGTCGTCCGCATCGTCCGGCTTCGCCAACCACGTGAAGAACTCCTCCCCGGACCTCAAGCAGCCCGTCCCGCAGCACCCGTCCTCGAAATCCGTGCGCTTCATGGACGCCGCGGCGGCGGCCGAGGCGGCCGAGGCCGACGACGAGGAGCACCGGCGCAACCTCTTCCGGCCGTACCGCGACTCGCCGTCCCCGCCGCCCGGGGCCAGCGCCGCCAGCATGGACGGGCTGTCGAACGAGCAGATCTACGATCACCACGCGCAGGCGCTCCGGGACCAGGACGAGCATCTGGACCGGCTGGGCGAGTCGATCAGCCGGCAGCACCAGCTGAGCATCCAGATCGGGGACGAGCTGGAGGGCCATGTGGCGTTGCTGGATGATCTGGACGGGCATGTGGATCGGCATCAGGGGCGGTTGGATAAGGCGAGGAAGCGCCTGGATCGGTTCCGGCGCAGTGCCGGGGAGAATTGGAGTATGATGACCATCGTCGGGTTGATTATCACGCTGGTGATCTTGATCGTGCTTTTGAAGTGACATTTCTATAATCTCGCGGGTTCGGAGAGTTTACATATATGGTTTGTTTTGGGTTGGGTTTGGGGGGTCGTTTGTGATTCCCCGGAAGGCGAGTCCGGCGTTTGTACTGTGTTTGAGTCGTGTTTTGTGTCTTTCTTCTCTCCCTCCCCTCCTTTTTCCAACTACCCACTCCCTCGTCTGTTCCCTTCAGTTAATATATACCGACAGCAGCTATCATGTTTTCTTCTTCACTCCCCCATTGACGGGACTGCGGCGTTGCGGGGGTACCTTATCATCATACATCTACACCCCGGTTTTGGTCCATAGCTACTACACACAAGATGGAGTCCATCACACACTACCTAGTACTCTTTAGATAAGGAGACACACAACCCACAATCAAATCCACCACTATCAGAATCCCAATCCACGGTATAAAAGCAAGTCAAGAAACCCTCATGGAAGAATAATATTGAATCTCATCTAACCCAGATAGATGAATAAAAAAAAAGCCGAAAACCCCCAAACATACACACATAATACAAGACGCAATCATTACCGATCAAGAAAAGACACACAAGGAATCTATTGAGTCTTATTCACGTTGCCCGCCCGGTTGGGCAGACCTTTCGTACGCTCCTGCAGCGTCGCAAAGTCCTTGTCATCGCTGTCGATGTCACCCCGATCAGCCTTGACCTGTGGTATGGCGATGCGATTAGTATACTCTGCCGCTTCGGAAAGCTAGGGATTGAAGGGTGAGGGTGAAGGTGACAACGCACCGAAGCTTCACTGTTGCTGGCCAGCTCCTGCTTCCACTTGGCGGTGCCTTGCTTGCTGTGCTTGAGCTGGTCGTTCTTGTGCTCTTCGTAGATCTTGTCGAGGTCATCGCGGTCTGGTGTTGAGGGAAGGGGGCGGGTCAGTATTCTTGGGGGCTGGGTTGGGTTGGGCAATGCGGGAACACTCACTGCGATCGCTCTCGTTGAGGCCGGCGCGGGGAGCGGAGGTGTGCAGAGCGGAGGTCATGGCGGGGCGGAGGGGGGTGGTGGCCAGACGAGGGGCAAGGGCAGTGCGGACGGTGGTGAGGAAAGACATGATGCTGATTTTAATAAATTTCTCTGGGGGGAATTGCTGTTAGTGTCTTTTCTTGTCTTTCGTTTCTATTGCTGCTGTAGCTGCTGGGTTGGCGGTGGTGGTCGTGATGAGGGCAGGGAGTTGATGGAAGTGAACGAATAGTGTTGGCGACGAGGTAGAAAAAAGAAGGAAGACGCAGCAGGAATGATGTCAATGACACCAGCGCTGAGAGTCTGAAGAGCTTACCTTATTCAATTGATGGATTTTAGATAGAGAATGAATATCGATAGTAATAGAAGCTATCTCAGTGGATGGGAAAAGTAGATGTAGTACAGTAATAGCGAACTTGGAAACAATGCAGGAAGGATGGGGGGAACGCTTTTTAAAACAGCAAATTGCAATTTCCGTTCTGCCTCGGGTAAAGGGTTAAAGGTACCTACGTCGACGTCGGTCCAGCCCAGAGAATGACTCCATTATTCGCTGAAGTAAGTTGTTGCTGGAGTGAGTGAAGGCGTGAGTGGTCAAGACGAAAAGTCGCATTCGCGTTGCAAGGTGACGTCATGGATAGCACATGCGGGTTTTCTCTCTTCTCTCCACTGACGCCCGTTGCCTTTGACCGGCGTGGAGTACAAGATTAGCACAGGTCCTGTTTGAAACCGAAGGGCCATGCTACTACCTCTTCTGTGACTGTACCACTGAGTTGTATGTCCATTCCAGTACCTCTTACTTGCTTAACTCTGTAGATTGTTGGAATTGAACCGAGTAGGTTTTCTTGTATGTGTTGTAGGTGGTGAGTTCAACTCAAGTCACTCAGCACATGTAAGTTAGTATCCCTTGATCCGGCCAGGCCAGCGGGTTGAGGTGCGTCTGCCATGTTTGCTGCTGCAGATCAAGGCTATGACATCACCCACACTCTCCCCTCAACACACTTTCTTAAGTTTTAGAAAAGTCCCTTGTTGTCGCGTCGCCATAGTCGCCAATTCCAATTGATATGATATGTTTCTCATCTCCATGGATGAATCTCATCGTCAAAACTTCTTCACCGAAGAGCTCGCTTGAGGCACGCATGGATATATTTTCCGAGGCACCGCCACCACAGCTGGAGCGGAAGGGCTCACATCACCTCTGTTAAGCCTGTCAACAGCCATGGTACTGGAATGATATATCTCCCCCTGCAACATGAATGAAGTGCATCACTACGTGATGACTTGGCGATCCACTCCATCAACCTCGCAATTGCAACTCCACAAAACAACGCTGCCGCCTGGATGATCTAGCAGAAGTGATACTTCGAAGGAATGGACACTCATTAGAGCAAATGGTGGAGATTGCGCAAGTCCAAACTAATGGAACAACTATGTATAGGCATTACCCGCATGGTCAACAAGTTATAGACATAGGAAACTCGATGGAAGATGAACCACCCAGGGAAAACATCATACACTGCATATGGATCACACTCGCCGGGAGTCCCCAGGTACAGAATTATCCGAACGAATCAACGCGGAAGCAGACAGAAGTGAAACAAAGTCGTCGTCGGGCGACAGAAGAAAGCAACATCGGTCTAGACTTCGCTGCGAAGGCGAAAGGTCCCTCAGAACTCCACATCCAGTCCATGGATTTTCACAGCCAGTTGACCTGAAACAGCAACAAGCACCGCATGTCACCAACCCCCAAACCATTTACATAAAGATTTTCCAAACGAAAAGAAATGACAGATGAGCCAGAAGCAACCAAAACATCCCAAGCAACACAACAAAACCCAATGCAGACGTATATCGTTTCCGCCTTTCTAGATCCCTGAAAGCATGAGATAAAAATCCGTCCCACCCAAAATTGTGCACAAACACCGAGCCAAAAATAAGATGAATAAACCGCTGAACATGTCTGGCATAGCCGCCAGAAACCCGAAAGCAACTCCAGAACCTAGATGAGCGCCTGAATGGCAGAAAGTGCCGCGCTTTCTATACATCGTCGTGGACAAAGGCAAAGCAGGTGATTTTCCCTAACCGGATGAGGAAAACAAGGTATCGTTGGTGATGAAACGCAGAAATCGAATCGCAGGCGCCGTCGCTCGCAAGAAGCCGAAAGCATCAGAGTCTAGGTATGAGTGTGTTCGAAGTCGTCATCGGTAAAAGGTGTATATACAGAGAATAACTGGTTTAGCCGTTGGCGTTTTTGCAATCGTCAAGCGAAGAAGGGGGAATTTGGGTTTGATCGTGAATGCGATGGCCGTGTCGAACAAAAACAAGCAAAGAATTATGACCCGCGGTTAGGGAGCCCGACAATGCAGAAGCCGGACGAAGGAAGAAGAACGTGCCATGGGCGAAAGTAGGCCCGATTGCCAGTGGACTGGCGACATGTCAACACACGGTTCTTACCACCGACGCTGAGCATTCTGCATCGAGGCAGGCGAAATTGACGTAGGCGGGCTCGTCAAGGTCATGCCGGTGTTGGGGTTGACAATAGGAATGACCTTGCGGGTGCGAACGGCAGATGGCTGTTGGTAGTTCACGTGACTGAGGTTACCGGTAACCCCTGAGTGAACATAGGCATTCGTAGACGCAGGAGACAACGAGATGGAAGGCGTAACCTGTTGCACGGGCTGAATCTGGTGCTGAAGAGGAGACGAATCAGGAGAGCCACTGGAAAGTGACGAGCGATCCGAAGATGCGGAGTGGATCGAGTGCAGCTGAAAGAGAAATCCTGTCAATAGGCTGTCCTCGAAAAACGGCACATTTTGCCTGGTCGGAAGGAGTGACAAATACATACATCATCTTCTGTCAGGAGCCCGGGGCAGAATTCCAGGTCATCGTCCAGGTCGAAAGAGCGTCCAGCCTCAAATCGTGCACGAAAAGCAGTCACCGCGGGAGCCTCGGCAAGCTCCCTCATACTCTTGACACCGCGGAATTGGCGCTGGGCATTCTGCGCGGTCATTTTGGGTCCTCGACGAGAGCGACCGCCATGGTGATTGTTCGAGGTCGTCATGTGGGTGGCAGCGCCGTGGTGAGGGTGTTGGTGCTGGTGTTGGTGCTGGTGTTGGTGCTGGTGGCCGTAGAAGAAGGTCGACATCTTGACGGTATGATGGGTGGATAATGCAGCGAACGACACCGAGACGTTATATCGTTGAACAAGTAGGCTCGAGGCTGTTTAAGTGGATACAAACAAGGGTCGACGCTCTGGAATCCCGCAAACAAGTACTCCGAACAAACTAGACGAACCAAAAGGGAATAGGGTATGTGAAGAAGAATGACAGAGAGTTGGGATGGAATGTGTGGTGAAAGTAGTGGTAGTGGTAGTAGTAGTAGTGAAGGTGAAAGGAAACAGGAACGAAACGGATCAGAAGTGAGAATTGGGAATGAGAATTAAGCAAGCGAACAGGGGGGAAGTAAGAAGAGTAAATGCGAAATGGAAGCGGAAGTGGAAGAATAAGAAGAGAGACTGAAGGTGGAGAGGGGGGGGGGGGGGGGGGGGGTGTGAATTTGCGCGCTTAGTTTGGGTTGTGGGATGGGGAATCGATCATTGACTGTGAACAATGGGTGGGCGGGACAAGAAAGGTGGAAGAGAGAGCGAGAAAAAGAGCAGTGCAGCGGGCGCTCGGAGCGGACGGGAGGCGAAGGCGAGAAAGACAGAGACAGAACAGAGAGAGGAAAGCAAGAGGGGCTGAGCCAGTGGAAAGGAAGTTCAGTGGAGACCCGCAAGGGAAGCGCGGTAACTTACGTACCTGGCTTGTATGAGGACGGAACGGATGGAACTACCTAGTATTCATTCCTTCATTCGAGTCCCTTGTCCCCTAGTCAGTGGTTAATCAGTACCTGGAAGCGGTCGATCTGCAGAGGGTTTGGACTCTTCGAGAGAGCCGAGCCTGGGAATCGCGGTATTCGCCGCTGCCGTAAGGTATTGTTAACATGGTATTCTAGTAATGAGTGGTTACGAGTGGTTACAACTGGTTTCAGACCGGTCGGCGCTAGCCAGGTCACGCACCATCCTTAGGGCAGGGAGTTCAACCAACCAGAAACTCATCAACCGATGCTCAGTGGCAAGGCAAATCCTCCGAAAGCCAATTATCGCCGCTTGAGACGCTCTCAGTGGGCTTATGGCAGCCACTGGACGGTATAAACCAATGAGGAGATGTTTTACTCACTGTAATCGACCGCTAAGGCGGGTGAAAGTGACGTTGAGAAGTACCGATCTAGTCCTCTTTCAGCCTAAAACCTACATCCTACATCACCTCGACGCCTAATATCTGGGACCTCAGAGCGCTTCCATCTCAACAGTAACTACTTTTTCAGTCGTGCAGGCGGCGGCTGTCGCTCGGCTGGTC